ATTCATCTCTATGATGCACAATTGAAAGAACATTTGGTGTTTGGAAAAACCGATGGAGAATGGTATGTCAAATTCATAATTTTCCTTTCGAAAAAAAAGTACAAGTCGTTGTCACTTCAATGGCTCTCCATAACCATAATAATTCATTCAATGATGGATGTAGAGTTCCAACCATATGATGATGATGAAGAGTTACTTCCCCAAACAGATGATGGAAGGACTAGTACGGAAGAGATTATTGTACAAGAAAATGTAACTCGTGCACGAAAGATGGATGATGAACACGAGAGAAATGCTAATCTTCTTATTTCTACTTGATATTTGTGTTGCTTAACAATATATTTTCTCATCCTAAAAAAATATTTATTCATGTTTCTTTCAAGAAGTATGTTGAAGCTATATATTTTCAATTTTCATGTAAGAATGCCCAAGATTTAATATTATGTGATTGGTTATCAATTTTAAAATGTTTGATTATGAAAATACAAAAAAAAAAAAATCACTTTTTTCTTTGGGAAGCCAAATGCTACGAAAAACATCAAAATCACCTTTTTACAATATAAATGCACTTCTATGTTGGTAGCCAAACGATAAACTGATTTTGCGCAAAAGCGCTACTAACCTAAAGTGATTATGCTAAAATCACTAATAAGTAAAATCGCTTCTACATAATCACTCTCAAACGAACCCTAAATGAGCCCAAAGTGATTAGGGTTTTCGACCAAAATAGTCCCCCAACTATTTGAAGGAAACATGAATATAATGCTTAGGAAATGAACTTCAGCCACAACCTATAGAACAAAAATATTCTAAATGGCGGATCCATTTTGTTTATATTAGTTGAGCTAAACCTTTTTCATTTTAAACCAAGTATCTTAGCCTATTCTTTTTGAACACAAATAGAAAAAGGAAAAATGGAATAGATCTTTTACCCTTAATGACCTTTTCTTGATTTCTCAAGAATGAACACCTTTGTTGGAAAGACCTTTTGTTTTTCTTGATTTTGACTCCTTCACCTTAAGGCTCCAAGATTGGAGTTCTCTACCTCACCACACCAAATGCTCCTAGAGATGAAGAGAAGGCAATCAAAAAGTATGGATGCTAGTCTACTTCTTGATTGGACCAATTTTTGGTTTATGAAAGATGAGATACAAAGATTATCACTCATCAACCAAAGTACCTAGCTAGGTTTTCTCCAACACTTAGCTTATATATGATAACACAAAAGCCAATTGGGTGGGTTGGGGCTCCATTTGGTCCATGGGTCATGTCATCTTATGCCACTTATCCCTTGGGCCCAATAGCCTTTTGGGCTATTTTGTTCTTTTCCTTTTAAATCATATTTAAAAGCCAAATCCAATATATTTATATGTCAATATTAATTTTATAATTAATCTTTTAATTATAATTTAACTATTAAATTATAATTATAGTCTTACTTAATTGATCCGGTCAAACTATTTGACTTTGGTCAATTGCTTTGGTCAACATGTTGACTTTTGATAGTTGACTTTGACATTTGATTATCAACCATTGATTTGTGTCTCCTCATTTCATTTCTCCTCATTTGTACCTCTAATCACATTCTTTGAGTGTGCAGATTCATAGGTTTCCTTTAGCAAGGTAGTGAGTTGACTTAACTCCTCAGAGATAATATACAAATTAAATTTCACAATTTAATTCTTCCTATTAATAAAGGTTAATTAAAACCTTTTAGGACATCCACAAACCATGGTTGTCACCTAGCAGCAAGTCACGGTTATCCGAGCTAAATGAGACGTTGTGAAAGAATCTATTCAAATTGGAATGATCGTGCAATTGAATCCTTCTCTTATATCAATACTCCTTATTCACATTATTAGATCATAAAATCCGATTGTCAATATCCTAATGTGAATCATTCCTTTTACATGATTATCCTAGTAAGATTTGAAGATTTCTTCTTTCAAGTCTTATCCACTACTTTACGCAGAGATTTGATCAATCATATCTCTGAGCATTCTTTCTCCTTTACTGAGAGTAAATATTCCTTGTTATACATTCGTTTGCTTCCATGACTCTATTAAGAATCCTAATGAGCACTTTAAGCTGTGCCTAATTCAGGATGACTGTATAGTGCCTTCAAAGATTAACAATATAATCACAAAACATCTATGATGTGTCAGGTCTAAGGATTAGTTTGCACCGTTGCAATTTATGAGTTCCAACTTGACATGTGAGTAAAGACTTCCATGTTGTAAATCATGTGTTGGATCGCGTTCAGTGTACTTGTTCTTCTAGAAGCACCTACACACATATCGATGTGTCTCCACACTTAATGACTTGAGACCTTGCCATTCCCTATTTCTAGAGACGATACTGTGTGTACTGGTCTTTATGAAATATTGACGCCCAATCAATATTCCTATAACCAAGAACATATTCAGGATTTAGGGATGATAAGAAGTCTTCATGTATGCAATCTCATTAAATAGCTCTCATATCCACTTGTGTATTCCTTGGACTATAGTTGTTCTATATATTGAAAGATAATATAGGATGATTTAATGTATAAAACAACCTTTCTTGCCCATTGATAACATAATATGTCTTTTATTAAAGATGTCCTTCATTCTAACTATTACATAATTAGTTGGCTTTAAGGACATATTTCTAACACTATTGCTCCAGTATCATTTTGGTCTGCCAACTGAAAATTTCATTTCAATCGTCCTCCAACTCTTCACTTGGTATCAAAATGGTCCTTCCATCCAATTTTCCATTAAATTGAAACATGTGGATGACACATGCTCAAATTTTAGGGGTAAATTGGACTTTTTGCCTAAAAAAAGTACAATTTAAAAATTATTTTAAACTTAAAACAAATGTTTAAAAAAAAACTAGAAATTAAAAAAAAGTAATAACACAGCCCCTCACCTCCCATCTCATCACGACCCCATCCTTAACTAAGCCCCCCTTTCCTAACCTCATCGATCTCTCGCACAGAGTAGCAACTTCGAGCCCATAGGAGCCCTGAAAATCAAGCCAATCTGATTCAAATATAAGCCATACCCAACAAAAACAACCCCAAATTTATATATGGGTTGGTGTATAGAGACGGGGGGAGAAAAAGAGAGGAAGAGATAGAGAGAGATAAAAAGATGAAGAGGGAGAAAAACACCCCCATTCATAAGTTTTTTTTTTTTTTTTGTAGCTTTTGGGTGGTGGTTGCCGTGGATTTGGACTGTATATAGGGTAGGAAGTTTGATGGTGATTGTGGGATATTGGGGTTTGGGTAATATGGGTTTGTTTGTTTTTCGTTAACCATGCTAGACACATTGTTGCTCTTTAAAAATCGATTTTCAGGCACAATCCCTCAAAGTCTCGGGCTTTCACAGGGTCTCAAATCACTGGATTTGTCAAATAATTAGCTCATCGGTTCAATCCCACCAGTAATTGCTATGTTAATGAACACCTTTCTAGTTGGTCAAATCCCATACCAAATCAGAGGGCTACCAAACTTGGAAAACTTGCTTCTTTGGAATAATTCATTGACATACGTCCTTCCCAAAGTTTAGGCTTCAGTCAGAACCTTGTGAGGGTCAATGTCTCCTCTAATCTTCTCAGCGGTCTAATCCCTCCGAACCTCTTCAAAGGCAACAAGTTCGTCAAGCTCATACCAGGTTCACAACCCCCTCCCAAGCACCTTAACCAACCACACTTCCTTCTTGCGCTTTTTTATCCAAAACTCCCAAATCAATGGGTCGATTCTAACGAGTTTTGCATTCTTGCCTAATTTGACTTATTTTGACCTCAGAAGCAATAACTTCACTGGCACCATCACTGAAGATTTCGGCAATGTCGAAAAGCTGGAGTATTTCCCAGAACCCACTTCACACAAGGAATGATTGATAGACTTTGACAGTATGACCATTTTGATACCAAATGAAAAGTTCGAGGACTATTCAAATGAAAATTTTAGTTGGTGGACCAAAATAATACTGGAGCAATAGTTGGGGGACTATTTCGGTTGAAAATCCAAGTGATTATATGGAGAAGTAATTATCGGCCTATCCAGAATCACTCCCAAACAAGCCATTAAAATTTTGATTGTTTTAGTGTGCCCAACCATATTTAGGCCTTGTTTGGTTTACGGAATGAATTTGAGGGGAAATCATTTTCCATGTCATTTCCTAAGGGATGGAAAATGGAAGATTCTTTTCCCACGTTGGTAATGTTGGGAAAGTAATCGAGAGATATCACTTTATTTCATTTCCCATGTTTGTTTTGAGTAAGAATGGAAAACAAAGTTTGTATAAATTTTCAATTATACCCAAATTAAATCAAATAAAAAAAGAATGCATTTAATGATTTATTGTAATTCTAAATTGTTAATGAGGACAAAATTGTCATGAAAAATGTTTATTTAATAGGGAGTTTCACTAAAACACCCAAAATAGGGGTTGAAATTATAAAACTCAAGTACTATTTAAACATATAAACACACCCAAAACCCATCATTACACACACTCAAAACCCGTTTATAAACACACCCAAAAAGTTGACTTTGGGGTTAATTTTGGGTGTGTTTCTATGTTTAAATAGTACTTGGGTTTTTTATAAATACATGTCTAGGATTGAATTTATTTATAAATTTGTATATTTAATATTGGCTCATTTTCCCAAACTTTCCCATGAAAAGGGAAAACAAAACCCAATTGAGAGGATGGCTTCACTTTCCCCCTTACTTTCTCATGGGCCAGAAAACGATTTCACATGTCTAGACTTACCAAATATGCGAAAACATTTGATTCCCTATCCTCAAGTCTCATTTTTCATGAACCAAACGAGACCATAGGATAAATTATTGTGTGACATTGGAAAATAGTCATGTGGTATAATATGCGCACTCATACATGCTTAAGCACTGTTATGCTGGTGTGGATATTTTCAACCGGTAGATCTTAATTGATGGTCAGAATTAAAAGACGATTTGGAACAAGGAGAGGATCCAGGTAATTTCTAAATAGCAAAAACTTGAAGGAGCCAGAGTTCACTTTGAACATAAAACCCTAGCTCTCTCTCTCTCTCTCTCTCTCTCTCTCTCTCTCTGTTTTGAACACTCCCTTTACTCTCACTCCCTCTCTCTGTCTCCGTCTCTGTTTCCCTCTCCCTCTCTTGTGCGCGTGAACATCTACATCGGCAACAATGTCATCCATGCTGGTACTCTCTCTCTCTCTCTCTCTCTCTCTCTCTCTCATTTGTAGTTTCTCTGTTCATTTTCTGTGCGTATGAGCCACTATCTGTGATTCTTCCTCTTTTTTCTGTGTTGGGTTTGCTAACTGTTTGTGAAAATGCCTGAACCGAAAAAATTGAAAACGAAAACAGCAACCACAGATCATACTGTTGAAGGAGGGAACGGACACGTCGCAAGGGAAGGCGCAGCTGGTGAGCAATATAAACGCTTGCACAGCGGTGGCCGATGTGGTGAGGACCACGCTGGGGCCTAGGGGCATGGACAAGCTCATCCACGACGACAAGGGCAGCGTTACTATTTCCAACGATGGCGCCACCATCATGAAGTTGCTTGATATAGTTCACCCCGCCGCCAAGATCCTTGTCGACATCGCCAAGTCGCAGGACTCTGAGGTATGGGTTTTGGATGTTAGAAGGTTTCTATTTTACTTAAAGAGAAGATTCTTCTATGAAGTCAGTAGTAATGCAGATGAAATCCCACTCGAACAATTTGTTTTGGGCATATGTAGTGTTTAAAAGTGGGATGCTTCAGAAGGTTTTTAACCATTGTTGCTTCTGGAGCAGGTTGGCGATGGAACAACAACAGTTGTTCTGCTTGCAGGGGAGTTTTTGAAGGAGGCCAAGCCTTTCATAGAGGATGGGGTGCACCCACAAAATTTGATAAGAAGTTATCGAACCGCTAGCTATTTGGTACGTGATCAGAATTAAGTTTTCAATTTCTAAGTATGATTCAGATGCTTGTTCTGATCTTTATGCATCTTGAATATTTTAAACTGAGTATAGGCAATTGAGAAAATCAAAGAACTTGCTGTAAGCATAGAGGGGAAGAGCCTTGAAGAGAAGAAAACACTGCTAGCTAAATGTGCCGCCACTACACTTTCTTCAAAACTTATTGGTGGAGAAAAGGAGTTTTTTGCATCCATGGTCGTGGATGCTGTCATTGCAATTGGTGATGAAGATCGTCTCAACATGATTGGAATAAAGAAGGTAATTTCCTGATAAATTATCTGAAGACCTCAAATTGAATGGAGTTCTTTCACATATGAAGACTTCAGTTTGACTGGAGTTCTTTGCCTATATGAAGATCTCTACGTAATCTGTCAATTATGTTAATAAGAGTGTTCTGGTGGCTCTTAGACTTCTTACTACATTTCAATAGACTGCTTTCATTGATATGATCAGAATAAGATATATTTTATGAGCCACTAGGATAAGCTGTTATATTTGTTCCCCTGCCCTTCAATACGTGTGCTTTGAGGGCTCCTTCGGCCCGAAACTTAAAATTGGTCTCTTTTTTTGTTAGCCAGAGTGCAGCTTATGCGGTTCTTTTGATTCATGGTAGGAGTTAAAAAAAAAAAACTACTTTGAGCCTAGTCAATTGGCTTCTGTGCTAAAGGACTGCTTTAGTGAAGTTCATAAAGAATAATATGGCTTCTTTTGGTGTCCCGTTTGCTTCTTAAATTGTTCTTTATGATGTTTTATGTTCTTAAGATGTCCCTTTACATGTAGCTGGATTGAGAGAAAAATGTGGGCTAGTTATATCGGGTGACATGAAACATGTGGCCAACTGGGCCAGACAATATTGATAATATCATGCTAAAGTTGGAGTGTTCAACCCAAAACCAATTGGCTATGAGGTGTTTGAGAATTCAACCAATTTTGGTTCTTGGGGGTGTTCCAGCTGATGGGTATTTTAGATTTGTTTGGGTTTTTTAGGCTTCTGTTAGAAATCTTTTGCAGGTTTGGTTCTTTGGTGGTTTGGCTAATGGTTTCTGGTGACGGGGAAGAGCTTTTAGCTGTTAACTAGGAAGTTAACTTTGAAGGAGACAATAATGGAAACAATGGCAAAGGAGAACGGTGAGGTAAGGGCTGGTGTTGTGAGAGAGGGCTAGTGGTGAGGTATAGCATGAGAGGGAGGGAGAGAAAGGGTTGACAATGAGAGGACGAGATAGAGTTAAGGGAGAGAGGGAAGGAGGGGGGGTTGGAGCTGGCGATGTGGGGTAGAGATTGGATGAAGAGGTTATAGGATATTTGTGGAAAATGAAGAATTATACCAGGATATCACAAAAATCAGTAAGACAGCTCAAAGATTTGATTTGTTCGATTCATATATAAACTTCTAGAAATAAGCATTAAGTTCAATAAAAGAACTCCAAACATCTATCACCTGTATTAAATTTTTCCCCCCTCCAAAAATCAGAACTTTTATGTTTTAAGTAAAATTTTGAGACATGTAAACATATTAGTATGTTGTGCTTGTTTTACATTCATTACATCACCTTTTCTATCTCAACAAAATCTACATTATCTTTTCTTGCTTCAGACTCTGTCTCTCTTTTGTTTTCTTTGTTCTTCTCCTTTTTGCTTCAGACTCTGGGACTATGTTCTTGCTTTTGTTGGAATAAGAATTGTTGTGGGTATTGATATGGCTTGATTATTAGGAAGCTTAGTAGTAATACACCACCTTCTCGTCCTGTATACATGATTTCAATAATGCAAAGAGAAACACAGAGTTTTGTTTGATCAGTCAAAAACACAAACTTCCCCTGATGCAGAATGCATATTATTAGTTTTCCTAATCCGAGTAGGTTGCATATTATTAGTTTTCCTAATTCTTAAAGATTCCTTGTTGTTGAAGGATCTCTTATTAGTTAATTTGCTTTCCTATTTCTTAAAGTTTACTTTTCCTTTTCCTAGACTAAAAAGGGTTTTGCCTCTATAAATAGAGTTGTTTGTAATCTTTTAAGGCAGACTTGATTAATGATAACTTTCCTTACTTTAAACTCTCTGATTCCTTCCCCTTTCCCTTCATCTCTTCGATCCCTAATTCTTCTCCTCGATCTCTTATTTCTTCTCTATTCTATTGCTAAGTGTTTATTCTAAAACCTACGGCCTGTTCTACATCATCCCCTCAATTTAGGGTGGTAGTATGTTTTATCCCCGATTATGCAATTTCACCATTTCACCATTTCACAAGGACACAATCTTCATGTAACTGCCGGAAATTTTAAATCCATATTTAGCTCTATGAGTTGTTTTAGTATGCATGAAATTTGGTTGTTTGGTTTTGACAAACAGTGAAATTGCATGGCATTATGAAGTTTCAAGGTTTGAAGATATGCATGTGAATAAATTTATATCATTGTGGTAATTCAGTTGAAAAAATGTTTAATTCTTTTGTGATTTCAAGTGAAGAGTATCTCTATGACCATGTTAAAGATGTGGAGTTTAATTTATACTCCTTTTTTGGATGAACAGTATTTTGCAGATAGAGATATATTCTGTGCTGGGCGTGTAACTGAAGAAGATCTCCAACGGGTAGCTGCTGCCACTGGTGGCACTGTGCAGACATCCATCAACAATGTTATTGATGAGGTTCCTACCTCATGCTCTGTCAGACCATATTTTAGAGTAGAATTGTGGGCATTTTTGTCCTAGAGTTCTTATGTTAGTGCCCTTCTATAGTTGAGAAGCATTTCTTTTGCTCTTTGTCAACTGAAACTGTTTTGTTTTGTGTATTTGTAGGTCCTTGGAACATGCGAGTGTTTTGAGGAAAAGCAAGTTGGAAATGAGAGGTTTAATATATTTAGTGGATGTCCATCAGGTAGGACAGCTACAATTGTTCTTCGTGGTGGAGCTGATCAGGTATTGCATTTGTTGAGGTTACTCATTTTGGCATGTATTCATAAGATCTCTTTGTTTCTTCTTTTTTGAAGTTTTGTTTTGTCAATGCTGACCTGGGATATTCTCTTGGATTCTTACGTAGTTCATTGAGGAAGCGGAGCGGAGTTTACATGATGCTATCATGATTGTTAGAAGAGCACTAAAGAATTCGACTGTAGTTGCTGGTGGTGGTGCTATAGATGTATGTGTTTCTTAGCAATAGTGAGCTCTCAAAGTATATCTGAGAAATATTGTATGTGTTGGTGATTGTTTTGTTGATTATGGTGGCAGATGGAGATCAGCCGGTACTTGTGGCAGAAAGCACGCAAAATTACTGGAAAGTCTCAGCTTTTCATTAACTCGTATGCAAAAGCTCTTGAGGTATGCTCTGTTGGGCTTTCCTGTTATCTGATAGTGGTTTAAACCAGTGCCAAAACTGCACTTGATGTAGAATTTAAGGGACCCCAAATTTTTTTTGTCTAATATGTATGATATCTGCTTCTGTTTTCTAAACACATTGAAATGGAAATTGGAGATGGACTCATGCATGCACAATTTCCAAATCAATATTTAGTTTGAAAATTTAAAATTTAACATATAATCTAGTTGATATATCTATTATCAGGATTCATCTTCAGTTGTATATGTGCAGTGATGTAGTACCATGAGGCAAATTTGTGGAAGTGATATCGGAAATATCTTTGGAGAAAGTTGGTTTCTATATGTGGAATAATGTAGCACTTACCTTGATCCAAGTATTTCAGTTGATTCTCATTGGTTGTTGTTGGAACTTCAATGAAAGTTTCACATGAGCAACAAGGTTGTTTTGGGCTTCGCAGGATTATGCAGCTAGAAATTAGTTGTTTTAAAAACTTTATGTTTAGACATTTTAGTTTAGCCTTTTTTAGGTTTAGTCACTTTTATTAAAGCTGCAGCCCGGATTTCAACCCAGACACAATGTTAATGAGCTGTTCATAAGCAATAGGGCTCTGGGTTTTTAATATTTCATTTGGTTGGGCTTTGCAAGGAGTTGAACAGTTTAAGTACTTCAAAGTAGCTGGGGTAACTATTTCCTCAAGCACCAAATGTTGGTACTGCTATTGTCATGTAGTTTAGTAAGATAGGATTTAGTCTATTCTGTTTATGTTATGAAGGTTTTTATTTTTATTTTCGGTGATGGGGTTATAGGGATTTATATTGAGAGTGGCAGCAGACTGGATTAGTGGCATTGTTAATGATTCTGTCTGTTGGTTTAGGTTTTCTCTTTGGTTTTTGTGTTTCTTCTGTTGTTTTCTCTGAATCTCTGAATAAATATTGTGTTGCTTATTAAAGAAAGATACGCATGCTGCTTGTTTTTGATATAATTGATCTGCAAATTATCTGGTTTTGACATAATAGGATGGGGAATGCGTCCATTGAGTTCTCATGGAACTCTAGATTCTAATTTCATTTGTTATGGATTGTCTTTCTGTGAGAGAGAACCACCGTTAACAGTGTTGGACCATGAGCATGATACATTAATATTTGTATACTGGAACTATAAAGTCTGAGGCTTTTCTTTAGAATGTAAAGAATACACACTTCCTTTCTACTACGAATGGGAGTGTGATACTTATGCTTTGAATGAAGGCATGCCGTGTTTTAATTAGCAGAGTTCTGCTTATGTTGCAGGTTATCCCACGACAACTCTGTGACAATGCGGGATTTGATGCGACTGATGTGTTAAACAAACTTAGACAGAAACATGCGCTTCCATCTGGTTGAGCTCTCGTTTTATTCGACCTCATTTATCTATTTATTTTATTATTTGTTTGCTAAAATAGTCAAAGTTTTGAACAGGTGAGGGTGCACTTTATGGAGTGGACATCAACACAGGTGGAATTGCTGATTCATTTGCTAACTTTGTCTGGGAGCCAGCAGTTGTGAAGGTATTCCTGTTATCTTTTTAATAGCATAGATGTGTCGCACACATGACTTGGTAATTTTTTTAGTTTTTAACATCATGTGGCAATTGATATAATGTTGTTTTTTTCCCTGTAGATCAATGCTATAAATGCTGCTACAGAGGCTGCTTGCCTTGTTTTAAGTGTCGATGAGACAGTAAAAAACCCTAAGGTAATGTGAAATCTGTTTTATGTTTCTAGGTGATTAAATATGCCTTAGCTCACCTTCAAATTTCCTTTAAGTAGTTTGTTTGTCCGTTACTAATCATCATCTTTCCCTCTATGTCATCTGCATTGGGTTTCAAAGGAGTAAACAGTTTTCCTTTTCTAGAAATAGAGTTGATTGTTTGTCCAACAAATTTTGTCAATCGAGGAGCAAAATCTCATTTATTGGACTATTTATTTCCTAGGAGAAAGACCAAACTGGTGGACTCAGTATGGTCTTGCATTTTTGTAATATTGTAGTCCTTCAGAGATTGTCTGTTTTGATGTGATACTTGAAAACAATTCTGTGTATGGTCCTCCTTGTGTTGTCAGATGTTTCATATGTATAAATAAACAAAACAAAATCAAACAAAATAAAATAAAATAAATTTGTATTTGACTACATGTTTTAAGTTTTATAATTATCTTCTATTTCAGCTGTTTAATGCTCTAACTATTGATGTTGATAATGCAGTCCGAGAGTGCACAGGGAGAAGCTGCTGCGAGTGCCATGGGAGGTAGAGGGCGTGGAGGTGGTCTTCGTGGTCGTGGGCGCGGGATGCGAAGGCGATAGTTGTGAGAGTTTTCTCAAAGGTGGTTAAAGCATACAGTTTTGTCATTCTGGTTTATGGTGTGCTTAGAAATTATACTTCCATTTGAATGGACTGATGAATGTGGCTGTATCAACTTGCATACCTGAATGATTCGCTTCTCAAATGGCTGAGAACTGTTTGTGGATTCTGAGAATGGAGTCTTATGTTAGTTGGATGTGCAAAGTAGCAACTTGTGGGTAGCTGCGACGTACCTGTGGTTTGAACTAGGTTTAAAGAGCAAGAGTTGTGATATATTTGACTAGTGTTTTTGTTCTGGCATTGAACTAAGACAAATTTTGGGACCTCTAGGTCCATTTTCCCTCTCCTCTACCCCCTGTTCTCTTGATACATGATGAAATTTGTATTCATGGCTTCCGTAGGATATGCAGTAGCATAGCCTGTCTAGACGTGCTTATGTAGGAAGTGCTTCTGTTCGGTAGCTGTTCTGGAAGTGCAGTAGCATAGCCTGTCTAGACGTGCTTCTATAGGAAGTGCTTCTGCTCGGTAGCTGTTCTGGAAGTGCTTTTGTTGGAAGCATGTTGAATAGTTTATTACAAGTTAGGTTGAAGTGCTTTCTGCAATGGACTAAAATCTGCTTGACGGTTTTAAATAAAAGCTCTTTTCGCACCTTAAAACTCTCCCAAATCGCCCATTTACCCCACTCATCTTTCGAAGAGTCCACAAATTTGGACTTAGGCGAGCACTTCGAGAAAAATCAAACATCTACAATTTCTGGATTGATATCTTCTTCCACATCAAATTTCATTTTCTGAGAGGACGAACTTGTGAAAATGAAAATGTCTGAACGCTTGTTAGGATTCTTTCAAGTTAGTCTGCTACAGTTTCTGAAAGATTGAAAATGTCTGTAATGGTCTCATCCCATTCAAACGATTCAAAATTTGTATTGCATAAGGTGAGATGATGAGTTTTCTCCATTTTTCAAAGCTTCTGACTGGAGTTTCAGGTTAAGCTCGAAGAATTGTGCAGAGGTGAGCTAAGCGAGTCCTGCCCTTTATTGAATCACCAATGATTGAATAGGGTTTGCTGAGAAGCAGCCTTATTTCATCGACATACATTAGCATGAGCATCAGATTCTAATAAAAAATATCATGCCTACATAGAGAAAAGAGGCCCAGGCCCCAAAATCCATAAGCTGGATTGGATTGCTACATGATATTAACAACTTGTATCGACATAAATGCTAGAACAATTTATATGCTATAAAGGCTGCTAGCATTATTTTTACTCAAGTAAACATACAACACTTCAGTTCCAGAATTTAATATAATAAAAGTTCAGTTGAAGAAAAAACTCTCAACTACTTTCTTGATACAGTCGAAAAGAAATAACCATATGCATCATGTTGCCCATTTTCAGTGGCACTGCAATAAGTCTACTAAAATATTCTTTACCTTAAAAACTAGAGAGCTTATAGCAGAGAAGTCAGAAGCTTGTTCTGCACTTTTTTTTTTCTTTTTTTTTAACCATGTTTAACTATTAAGGACAATGCAGGAACCTCTTCAAGCTGCACTCTCATTTTCAAATGTCATGTAATCCTAAATAAAAATCCTTTATTTATGCGAGGGATGGTAAACCCCATTGGAGAGCTCCAGCAAAGACCTAAAACTGGAACTGCATTTCCGGACTGTATCCCAGACTCTCGAGGTTAGCAGCCATAGCTTTGTTCATGGGTGGTGGCCCACATCTTAAAATCTGGAAACATCAAGGTTTGGAATTATGTGAGAGACAGAGAGACAGACAGAGAGAGGTTACCAAAAAAGTAGTTACCTTAATATCAGGGGCTGGTGCAGGGCAGTAAGTTTGAATAATTTCCTTTGATATGAACCCAACACCACCTTCCCAAATTTCAGGAGGCTGACGATGATATTTAAGATTAATTATTAGAAATGAACAAAAAATAGAAGCAAAGCATGTTTCATGGAATTATGCAAGTCAATTTTTCAAGGACAGAAGACATGGAAAAAAATTTGAAGGTTGGTGCATGTAGTACCAAACCAGAACGTTTTAGTGTTTTACTATCATGGAGCAACTGGAAACATTCGGCTATAAACGATAGAAATCCGTTCCAATATAACAATGTTTTCTTCTTGCACTTTAAATATCAATTACATGTACCCAGTCAACTATAGGGCGTCAAGAAAACATGATGCAGAAGATATAATGAGGGTTACACTCCATAAGTTGAAATTGTCAAATACATTGCCAAAAAATGAATGAGAATGATTTCATTTAAAATTTGTTGGGATCAAATTTCTCGTTAGGATTGGCCTAGCTGAACCTTGCCCTAAGCTGCAAAAAATCTGTAGCCCCAGTTTTGCGCGGTTGACTGTATGCCTCAATAGTGCTTTCCATATATATATATATATATATATAGATGTAGTAACCCTTAAGACATTGAGTTTTAAATGGCATATATCATGTTCAACAGAATCTAAAATGACACTTGTACAGACTCAAATTTCTGAGCTGTCTTTCAAACTGTCTGACTGATGTGAGGGATCCAACTCTAGACTACCTATTTTTGAGCTGGTTTTATCTTTATCCCTAGATCAAACTCAAGTACAATCAAATGAATTCAATAAACACTAATCAGGTACTTGTAGACAATAGCAAGGCTAGTAGCTCAAAACAAAGAGTTGTAACTTATTCAACTTTCACAATAAATTCTGAAAGGAAAAAACTTTTTTCCAACTTCTACAGTATAAATCTGAAAAGAAGAAAGCCATTTAATGAAAGAATTTTATTCAGAATTGTTGTGGTTTTCATCATCTTCAAAGTATGAGACTACTATGAGCCCCCATGAACCATGATCTCTATACTATTTCAGGATGATCCACATATAATGACAACATAGAAATTTGTAGAAAGGTCCCACAATGTCAAACTTCAGCGGAATGATAATTGGGTTGATGTTAATTGACACCAATAAGTAAAACCATATGAGGTGGTCTATCACATTTTGCAAGCTACCAAACCTTTCACTATACCTAAAGCCTTTGGAAAAAAAAAACTTTGCTGAATTACCATGAGCCTTGATGCTAGTTTGACAATATTTAGCTCCCATCGTATTATGCGTACCACACTAGGGTACAGTACTTAAAATTCAGATTAGCATTGAAAACATATATTGTTATCCATAGATGTAAATACTGGTATGAATTGACTGCAACACAAACTACTTCCCTTTTGCTCTATTCAAACAGCATCTATGTCCATTTTATAACGCCCAAAAAGAGTTCATAATCCATGAAAATTGAACTGATGTTATGTTAGACGGGTTATGTTAAACCTAGTTCTCTAGGTAATTGGAAAAAAAAAAAAAAAAAAAAAACTGAAAGAGTAATGCTGTGAACAGAGAGGAAATACAACTTATCAACTTGGAACGTTACAGATACAAGAGTGGCTTCAAAAGAAATTATAGATACCTGATTCAAAACATAATAAATGTTGAAACGATTGGGAAAATTACTGGAAAGATTATCCAACTCTTCCTGCAAAGACACAGGTTATACAAATTTAATACAAGAGTCAAAATCTCCCAATTCTAGGACACAAACTAAATTAAATAATAAATGTTGTGCAGAAGAAAAATATCGTCATCATCTAACCCCATATCATTTTTTTTTTCTTTCATCTACTTCCATTTACATTTTTTTATAGACCTCATTTTTCGAACTTTTCCTAACAATTTATCCATAATAGAAGAACCTCCCTCAAAATTATTGTGATTTTTTTAATTCAGTAATAAAGTCGCGTAATACACATCCTCATTATTTACATAAGAACGATACAATGTTTCTCATGAAAACTAAGCAAAGTGTAAACGTACAAAAATACATTACATCTTTGTAAATATATAAAAACTAGCTATATCCAGTCTGATGTCAGTAACAAGTAAACATTAACTGAATAACAGTGCTTGTCAGTGCCCACTGGCTGAATCACATAAATCTACTACATACTTAAGCTTATTCTTTTTTTTTTTCCTTTTGTGGTAAAGTACAAAAGATAATTGATTAAATAAAGATCTCCTAAAATATCATTTCCTATGTTTTCTTCACATTCTCCATTTTTTCTTTTTGAAAGATATTATTTCTACATGTGCTAACAAGAAATGATTCCATCTCTTGAAAGCATTGGTAAAAAGACACCTTACAATATATGTGTCAATGATGAGCACCTACAGCCTCATACCAGAATAACAGTGTAACTTTTTAAGCATTTTATTAGTTAATAACTACTTTTGCTTGGTATTACACTGTTATTATAAGTTCTGCACTCCCCTCATCCTCCCCTAAGTCCAACTTTTTATTATAAGTTACACTGTATGATAATACTTTTTTATTTATTTTAACGATATGAATATGCATAGAGGACTCTGCAAAACATTCTAAAGTTAAACTAACTCCAAATCACACTCCTTTCCGAGTGGGAGAACTACCAAAGAGGCCTGAACATATTTTTATTTTAATTAGGCTTCTCTACTCATATTATTTTGAATTCAGAACATATTAATTGGACAAATAGATAAAGAGACATAGTAAATGATATATACTTTCAATATGCATATGTATTGAAAGAGAGAGAGAGTTTTACTTTCAATAGAATGTCCTCATATGTGACATTGGCATATATAAGATGTACATTTGTTCTGTCACTGGGATTTTCCAATATGGCTCTAGCAACCTGTCGAACCAGAAAGACAAAGAAGAGAAGTTATACCACTCAAATGATATACGTGGAGCAGAAAGAAGGAAAGGGCCTTGTGTAAAGTTAAAGCTCCACTAAATTACATACCTGGAACATCGGGGTGATGCCAGTGCCTCCAGCTAGCATCCCAAAAGCTCTAACTTGGTTAGGCTGATACTTGAACCGTCCCTGGAGGCATAATTTTAACTAAATTAGCTACTAAGGAATAAAGAGTGTAATTTTTTTAATGTTGGTAAATCAGACTTCTAGGATTCAGGTTTCTTAGATTAATGTGGACAGATCATCATCTCAGAGATCTTTTGAAAAGGAAGTAGTCCCTGAGGGGACTGAATGAAGGTGCTCCACCCGGACTAAAAGATTAATATGGTGTATTGCAAACTCATCAGGGATAAAATTATAAACACATTTCCTGCTTTCTCTGCATCCTAGAGATTTTAAAAGCATATTGACTTTGAATGGTTCAATAATTGCAGTAATTCCTAAGAAAGTGGAAACTTCCAATGTTAGTTTTCATAGACCCATTAGTTTATTTGGAAGGGATTTGAAGTTCCTAGCTTAAGTGTTGGACTCACGTGTAGCCTGCAGGGAGGTGCTAGTTAAAGTGGGGAATGATTCAAAATTCTGTAGAAGATAGACTGACTGGTCCAAGTTTTACACCTTTAAAGCTTAGACCTAAAACTGCATCCAGATTATCCCGGATGATATGGAGGACTGGAAAATCTGTTTGACCAATGGGTTTTAATGTTAAATGGAATCGATCTCTTTTTGTACTTCAACTTTGTACTTCTTGGTTCTTTTAGTTGATATGTAGACTTGAAAAAGAGGCAACAATTTACCTTAGGTCCTTTTACCGCCAGATAGTCACCTTCACGCATCACTTGAAAATGGTGAGACATCCTTCCTTGTGGATACATCTACACACAAGATAAAAAAGTTTAAAAATTATCAAATCAATGTAAAATAGGCCAAGAAGGATAAGTGATTTGTGAGAAAATGTACCACCAGTTATACGTCTAATGGCATACAAACATTAACTGTTTACGAAACAACAATGAGAAAAATAAATACCTTTATGACTAATTCAAAGTATCCAACATCTGAATCCAAAGTTGTTGGGGTATATGGTTTGACAACGTCTTCATTAAGGCTATCTTTTCCTCTGTATGAAAAAACAATGAGTCAAGAGAAACTACTGTGATAGATCATAAGTCAAGCATACAAGATCATAGACGTATCAAACATGTTGAAACTAAGCATGACCTGTTAAAAGAAAAGGAAAAGCATGGAACTGGATTATACTACAGAAAACCAACCAATCAAACCTGCAACTAATATGTTGTCCAATAGGAAGTCCCAACACTGATGTTGGTGTTGGAAGAGCAAATTTAAATTTAGCCACATTATGGCTGAGCTGAGTGCGTTTAACAAGTTTAAATTCCTTGAATTTCTCAGGATCCAAGCAACCTAAGAAGACACATGGTGTGTTAGGAACATTCTGCAAACACATATCAACAGAAACTCTAATATGGAGCATATAGAGAAAACAAATGTTAATCAACTAGATAAATTGCTTGAAAGTTGGACTTCATGTTGTCTTGGAGATATGACAGTTAAAGTACAGAATGGTGAATGCCACAGATGGTAAAAATAGTAAAATGCCATGCATGATGGAAATCATCTGTAATCTTATATAAAATACAAATCATGGCTCATTATGCTTCAAACAACACTGTTTTTGTAAAGTGCAGGTTATTCCTGTTAAAAAAATTATGATATAAATATCAGTTGTCTGCAAATTGTTCCGTTAAATGTCTTTACGATATCAAATGTATTTCCTTCCATTCGGTTTTAGTTAAATTTTTCCCGTAATCCTTCGGCCCCTGTACATTTGAAGGTCCACACTTGCCCCATGTGGCTTTTCAATATGGATGCAACAGATACTGGTTGCATGTAGTGCACACACAGATAGAGTATATATACATATATCTGGGAGTTCAACAATCGTAAACGACTATCATTTAGGTTCATCAAGGATCAACCTTCAAAAAATCAGTAAAATCGGAAACCATTTGATAATCTAAACTGTGCAGACGGACACAGTCTGTCCAATATGATGATGGTAATCAAATAGCTTTAGTAAAGGCACCCTGCTTGATATGATAAAAGTATATTTCGTTAGTAAATAATCAACCTAATCATACTTTTATCAACTGCCACTCACCCCTTCTAGTTTCTAATCTAATACTACTATTTATCCTGTTCCTAACACCATAACAACATAAAAGCACACTCCTCTGAACCAAAATTACAATCTAGAACCTAGGTCTAAGTTGCTTAAATAATAAACCTAGTGGCACTCCAATAAATTGTCAAAGCATAGGCCCCCTACCAACCTAAGTAAAAGGACTAGATTTAAGAATAAGCTTATTCTTAATTAAAGTTAGCCTCATGTTTTGATGTTACAGGGCTGAATTTTGAAAGGAAAAAAAAGGTTCACACACCTAGTAGGAATTAGGGGTTTGTAGAGAAAATAAGAAACCCATGACAAATCAAATTTAATCATAGCAACAAACAAGATATTTCAACCATGTCATGATCCCTTGGAGCACATACAAAGTGACAATCTGCTTGAACTCATCAATCAACAACTAGATTTCAAGTTCTTTTTTTTAATGTACCACAAAATGCATCAGCTTCTAAGATTCTATCAGGGAAACTAAAAAAATGGAAAAAAGAAAAAAGAAAAAAAAGAATACATTTAAATCGCTAAAAAAGAAATCCATGCGCTATGAATATGAGATAATGAAGAATGTTGACAAAAAGAAAAGAAAAAAAGGAAGATGATTGAAAGACCTTTTGGTTTCTTGGTGACGTAGAAGTAGTAGGCCGTACCAACACCAATAGCCATCACAGCCATTGCTATGGTTAGCATTTCTGCTCGGTGGCTCTGTAACACATCCATTCTTCCAAAGCAAAGCTCAGAGCCAGAAACAGAGACACACAGGATTCAGAACGAGTGGTTCGCACTCTCACTTCCTCTCTTTTCCGTACGGAAGAAGTTGGTTGCAATTTCTGTGCTATGTATATGCAACAGAAAAAGTTCTCGTTTTGCAGATGATAATAGCTCACGCGTTGAAATTTGCCTACTGAGAAAGACGGATTCGTTTCGCAGGCACGTGTGTGTGGCTCCTTGTTTCTTTTTGGCAGAATGTTTAATTTTGTTACATGTAATTTGCCAAATTTGTGGGGATTTGACCTTGTAGTTTGATATACATTGCATTTCAGGCAAGGGAAGATTCATAAATTTTTATAGGATAGGTTAAATGTTTTTTTTATTTTTATAGAGGAGATATATTATAAGTCTTTTTTTCTCTTGAAACAAAAATGTAAATAAAATTTTATAAATCAAATAAGGCCACATTACGAGCAAATATAACATAAAGAAGTACAACATATAAATAAATACCAAATCAAACACATTGTCCAACTTAAAAAAATATATACGATTGCAAAAACATTTAAAGAGCTTATTAGTGAAGTGGAACCCTTCTCTCTTTGAGTGTATCAAAATCTTTGATTATTAAATATGAATCAATATCCACATAAAGCTCTTTCTCAATGTAGACAATGAGGGAATTTGCAAGATACTCATCCTCCATTTTGTTACGAAGTATAGTCTTAATATGTTTCATAGCTTAAAAAGCTCTTTTTGTAGTCATCGTAGAAACCAGAAGAGTTAACACTAAACGAATCAACCTATCAATAAAATAATATGCCTTTGCTCTGTCTATTTTAATTAATACTTGACATACTTCTGAAAGAGTAGACATAGTTTGAAAGATATCAAGATCATGTTGGTGAACTTCAAACTCAAAAAGTTCGAGCTAGCACCTCATGAATAAACGTAATTCTTTAACAGTGAAATCTTGAGGATAAAATTTCTCTACAAGCTTGCAAATATCATCAATTTTAAATGATTTAAAAGCATTACTAAGGTCCAAAGTTGAGAATAAGAAGTTCCCTTGTTCTTTCGCTAAATCTACGGTTTAACTCTTCACATTGATAATCTATTGTATCATTGAATAAATCAACCCGATAATGATATTCAATTGTAATATCATCATGTTGCTGACAAGAACGATGTGTACCAACTTTATAAGGAGCATTCATATATGGCAAAGCATGGTAAACAATATGCCTTATCTCTTTGCCGGTTTATTATCATCATGTGACATGATATCCTAACAAGAAATACTAGACATAAAGAATCATATATGCTAATTAATAATTCAAGTTGCAAAAATAAAACATATATCAACAATCTCCAAAAGTTTTCACCCAAACCCTAAATCATAAAAACTTCACAACAACAATTAAAATTGAAAATTGAATATATAAATAAAAAAAGAGAAAAACTTACCAAGATTGAAGAACCCACTGAAGATAGGTTGGTACAATTTTTTAGAGGAGGAGGGCTATTTCCTCTAGGCTCTCAAAGTTCAAATATGGAGTTTTGGGTGGCTAGAAGAAATTTTTTGATGTTTGCTCTTTGTGGGTGTAACTCAATATCAGTACGATTAGAATAGCTCAAGTTGGTAGAGCCCTAGTTTGAGTTCTACTTCTAATCAAATTTATATAGGTTTGGATTGATGTTTATTATTTCCTATATGCTCCAGGAGTGGGCTAATATTTATTAGAGCAGGAATAAAGCTTATAAAATTTAAACCATGTTCAATACTTTACAAATCTTCCCCTAGGCTGGAGCCCACTCCAACCTAGGCTTAGGTCCGCCCTTGATGTTAGGGACATTTTCAAATTTTTGTAAGATTTCGTGATAGAATAAGCACGTGTTACTCACATGGAGAGGTATTTTGTACAAAAGGTTAGACATATGGTGTTTGAACATGGTTGATATATGGTCGGGTCAGGTCAACCGAAGCTTCGACAAACAAGATCTCGATTTGGGCTCAAACTACTTTCGAGTGGCCCTAATCAATAAAGATGGCTAGAGGTCCAAAAATCTTTAATATGGCTGAGCATGTAAAAGTGGCTACGAGCCTCGAGAACACATAAATGTGGTCAAGATGGAATGAAAATCAAATCAAACATTATTATTCACATCAAATCACAAGCATGAATCGAGGATTGAATGCATTTTGAGTGAAACAAGGCAATTGATGCAGTCAACATAGTTAGTGTTATTTATCAAGGATGAAATTATGACTAATTTGAAGACCAATTGATGACCAGTTAAATTAGGAAGCATTGAAGCCCTTATAATTACCAAAATGTAGAATAGTGAAATGGACAACTTATCATTTTATAGTATGTTCAATTCCTATCCTAGGAGTAGCATAATGTAGTCCATAGTCTAGGTTTTTTTTTCCCTGCTCTACTTTCCATAGATTTCAATTATGTCTTTACATTCAATACACTAGTCTAGTTTACTTTCTTGTTCAATTCAAGTCTTCGCTTAATCTTTATAGTTTTTGTTAATCTAGTTTACTTTGCGCACTTTACTTTATGCACTCGTCTTTCAGTTATTTATTTTATGTACTTTAAATTACACACTTATCTTTAAATTATTTACTTCAATTTCGTTTAAATTACAGCACCTTTTCAAAGAAAAGGTAAAGTTTCTCATAAAATAAAATAAAAATTGGTTCATTTAAGCGTCTAAGCAACAAAAACAAATAATGCTATGCAACAAAAGCCTTTTTAAGGGAATTTAAAGCTTAAATTAAAACCTTTAAGAGGATCTTTGAAGGCCAAGTGGTTGATGTGCTAAAACATCCCGAAAAATTTAGGATTTATTCTTATTTTGTTTTAAAAATATCAGTTCAATATAACTTGTCTTTTTAGTTATTATTTTTTTGAATTTGGAAAGTTATATATATAATTTTAAAAGTACCCAAATGCCCTTGTAGATATTTTTTTTTAAAAAAAACTTTTGTTCCAACGAGGAGGAAGGCAACTTCACCTCCCTATCCCATTTTTCCACCCTTCCCTCAATTCTTCCATTCACAAAGAATGAGTGACCTATTCTAAATTGATGACTCACCTAATCTAAGATACTTCAGTCATGAATTTATTATCTTCCTCATTCACCTTATGATCATCCTCATTCTTCTTGAGATTTTCCATTTAAACCTCACATTTCTCTTTGTTCACCCCATGTTCTAAGTTCATCCCAACTTCTAATTTAAGTTTTCACAATTTCTAATAAAACCCCACTATCTTCCCAATTTACCCTTAAATACACCCCAAGTTGGAATATTTTTAAAAAGGGAGTTTCACTAAAACACTCAGAATGGGGGCTAAAATTATAAAAAAACCCAACACCCAAAACACTTTATAAATACACCCAAAACCCATCATTACACACACTAAAAACCCATTTATAAACACACCCAAAAAGTTGACTTTTGGGTTAATTTTGGGTGTGTTTCTATGTTTAAATAGTGCTTGGGTTTTTTTATAAATACATGTCTAGGATTGGGTTTATTTATAAATTTGTATAAAATAAAATAAAATAGTTTTTCTATTTAAACCCCACTATCTTCCTACTACAAACTATAGAAAAAAGCATATATCTAAACTGAATAGTGGGGGAAAAGATGAAGAAGGTCCCTATTTTTGAGAAGAAGATGATGATCCCTGTGCTTGCCCCAAGACAGACAGACTCATTAACTCTTACAGTATATTGCTTACTGTCAATGGAAAGAGATCCTAGACAAAATAAAGATTTCTAAATTAGAAATTAAATGGGGAGATATTTATTTGTATTGTAGACAAGAAGGTGCAACTTACCTTGGCAAGAACAAATTTCACTTACACAAAGGTATAGTAATCATCTACTGTTTACTTTTGAGCATATAAGAAGTCAAGTAAATATAAAATTTTAAATAAAAAATCAGAACAACCAAGCAATCAACAAAGGGAAGAGAATAAGATCATTACAACCAAGCAATCAACAAGCCTTTCCATCAGCTCCCACACAGATTTTAAAGAGGTAGGCTCCTCAACGTTTTATATCTTTAAAAAGAAGAGTAATTTGGCAATAGGATATAGAAGAGCTTGTATTTTTCTAAAACTTAATATAAAGAGTGGTGGGGTGTGTGTATAGATGTACTAGGGTTAAGTATTAAGTTGGATGACCTTTTTTGTCTTTTTACACAATAATAAAACTTACAGCTTAATAATTTAAGTATTGGGGTGAACAAAGAGAAGTGCGATGTTTAAATAGAAAATCTATTCTTCTTTTGTTCCTCTTCAAAATCCAAAATTCGTCACTTCCTTGGAGCAGTTGAGAACTCAAATTTTGAAAGCTCAAATGAGAAAACTTCACGCATCAAAGTTGTTCATCTGCTCGAGTACTATGACATTTCCAAAAATTAGCATCATCCGATCACTTTAGCTACCTCAAACCGGCTCTGATATTTCCATGTTCATCCATGGCTGGTGAGTTTAAGTAGGCTTGGTTTTCTAAACTTTTCTTTAATTCCGAGTGCTCATTTGATTATGATATCGTCATGAAAGTTGTTCCAAATTGTGTTGTATAACATATTCAAAAGCCATAATAAGTCCAACCACTGTAGCCTTCTCGGCCTGAATTTTATTGAAACATGTTCATTAATTATATTGAATTTCTGGTTATAGATGTGTACTTTGGCTCCAACTGCTGCTTGTTCAATCTAGCGAATATAATCTCAATGAAATGACCCGTTGAAGGTATGGAGCTTATTTCCTACAATCTTCATATTGTCTCATTGTGCTCTATTAGTTGTAGACCAAGTGTATGTTAAAATGTTTCAAAGACACATATCTCTTTTGTAAAGTATGTTATTGTGATGTTCTATGTTATTTCAATGTAATTTTGTTTCAATCTTAGTTTGGGATTTTGATTTATCAAAATGGACATCTCAAGGGTTATTTCAAAGTTTGTTTTGTGCCATTTGGGTTTAAAATGAATTTTTGGTGGAATTTCAAAGTAGAGACAATGATGCTAGAATTGTTCTGATTCTTCTACATGCCATGGTTTGAATACGTGTTTGAAAAACTTTATGTGTTGATGCGAAAAAGTGGTTTGGCACTTTTGGACTCAACTTAGTGATGTCAGGGCCTTCAGAATGCTCTGGGCCTCGGTGGAGCGTGGTCCTG